GTGTAGGAGTCGTATTTTCAGTCCATGGAACACCATACGGATTGGGTAAATGACATTGTATTATGCTGCGATGGAAAAACATGTATGTATTTTTTGTATACCTGTCAAATATACATTTAACATAGTATCAAAATCAATCTGCTATTTAAATTGTGCAAATATTAATCGTAGAAAATACGCCTATTAAATACACAAAACAAAATATGTTTTTGTTTTTACACACCCAGGTTATTAAAGAACCTTTCAAACTGGTTAACTTATGTTAAAATTTTATTTATTTTTACACAGTTATTTTCCAACAGTAATATCAGCAGCTTTAGATGCCAGAAAATATGCATAAATACTCAAAACAAAATCTGTTTTTATTTAAACAGCCAGGGTATTACAAAATCTCTTAATTACTGGTTGAATTATTTTTAAGATTTTATTTGTTTTTACACAGTAATATCAGCATCATCAGATGCCATGGTGAAGGTGTGGAATGCTCACAAAGGATTTTGTATGTCAACATTAAGGACACACAAGGTAAGTCTGTTTCATATCCTGGTCCTACTTCAACAGACCTGTGAGTGCCATTATTATGGTGTAAAATTGTACTTGTTGACAGTAATCTACATAGTTGTAAATATTTAGTTTTCCTCTTCTTAATTGGGAATTTGAATACCTCAACCATGCAGTTTACTAGTTTTCACTTAATTGTTTTTTGTAGGATTATGTAAAAGCACTAGCATATGCAAAAGAAAAAGAATATGTTGCTTCCGGAGGTCTTGATAAACAGATATTTTTATGGGATGTCAAAACTTTAACAGCTCTAACAGCAGCCAACAACACAGTAACAAGTAAGTCTACAATAGACACATTCCACTAGTTTGGTTACGTTATGTATAGTGGGTATCAATTGTAAACAGGCAGCGTGAGTGACCTCGGTAATAGAAAAACATGTGGATTCTGCTGTAAAGCACATATTTGATGTTGAAGAATGTTGGTTGAAATTACCAAATTGATTGGAAATTGAACTTGGGAGTTTTGCTATAATAAAAATACGGGCCCCCAAACATTGAGATTTTTCGAGAAATGCTAGGCCTAGGCCCCTGCATACGTACGGCCTGTTTAGGTATGCACAAGAGTCTTTGATCCACGAACTGCGATTTTGACACGCTACGATTCTAGGCTAGCTAAGGTTTACAAAGGATCACACCAAAGCATGCACAGCTCATTGAATGCTAGAATAAGTAAATAAACACTATTTTGAACAATCATAGTGCCTCTCCTTGCCAGTTTTCATGTTAATGGTGGGTGGTTTTTTTCAAAAGCATAATATTACTCTTTTCCTATACTTCAACATTGATCTGACTGATCATACTGTAAATTCTCCATAGTAATATCCACTATATGTCACGTGACCGACTGTAAACAAACTTCACGGAATGTGTCTGTTGTTATACAGTTCAACTTAAGGATGACATTTATGATTTAGGATTACTTAAAAATGTGCTTGTTGACCACAACATTGTTTGGGTGGGCAAATTTATATTTTTAGTCAAACTACCTCATTGTAGCACCATGATGAAGAGGTCCTTAATTGTCTGACTGGTAAAATTTCCGCCTGACCCCACTCCACCTCCCCCTCTGGTGCCACAACTGCGGCCAGCCTCAGCTTAGAACCCTGATTCTGCTCTTGAAGCTCAAATCCTTCTCACAAGCTTCCTCACATTCAAACACACAAAATATTTTAAATATCTTGTTTTCAGCATCATCTCTGAGTGGGCAGAAGGATTCCATTTACAGTTTAGCAATGAATCCGGCGTGCACAGTCATTGTTTCCGGTTCAACGGAAAAGGTTTTACGAGTGTGGGATCCTAGAACATGTGCCAAAATGATGAAGTTGAAAGGTCATACTGATAATGTCAAAGCTTTAGTTGTAAATAGAGATGCTACACAAGTAAGCATACACTTTATTATTTTTGCTTTGATGATAATGTTGATGAATAATGATTAATGATAATGGGGATGATAATGTTGCGGGTAACAGTGATGATGGTTAATAATAAAGAATAATTCAAATTTCTGTGTATTAGTTAAGATAAATATATGTAAGCTGAATATTTGAAAACTTGAAATGTATATTAAAATTTCTAAGTCAAATGCCTTTGCATTTCAACAGTGTTTATCAGCCAGTTCAGACGGTACAGTGAAACTATGGTCGTTAGGGCAACAACGTTGTATAGCCACGTATAGGGTTCATAATGACGGCGTCTGGGCTTTACGAGCCAATGATGCATTCACTACGTTTTACTCAGGTGGGAGAGATAGAAACGTGTACGCAACGGACATGCGACTGTCTAACAGCAGTGTACTCGTGTGCAAAGAGTCTGCGCCAATTGTCAAAATTCTTCTTCTACCAGATGAGAATTCTATGTGGGTTTCAACAACAAAGTCTGATTTACACAAATGGGTAAGATCTTCAAACTTTTTGGCTGACGACATAAACTAATGTCCCAGGCAATTTGCTGCGATCCACTTCTGTATCTGTATCTGTATGGGGACTGCATTGGACCTCACTTTTGAGTAAAGCATACAGGCCACATGGTATTGCGAATGTGGTGTAAGCAACAGATCGTCACACCAGAGAGCCAGTAGCCGCAATTAATTAAAGTGACATTAAAAACAGATACTCAAAATGGGTCATTAACTGATAAAAAAAAGTTGAAGTAAAATTTTTAAATGGTAATTAGCATGCACTCTGTGGCAGATTCAAGGGGTAGGGGGTTGCCCTGGAGGCCGCCCTTCCCATAAATTTTTCAAAATTATAAAAAAACGATAGAGGTACCATTATAAATATTCTTTCCTCAGTCCCATCGAATGCGGGTGGACCCTCTATCTGTGAAAGTCCCTCTCTGGGCTATCTCTATTTCAAATTCCTAAAACCTCCGATGGCACTCTTTTTAATAAAGTGGGGGGGGGGGGGGGAATTGTTGGAGGATGTAAAATGTAAAATTCAATTTTTTTTTTATCCTATTTTTTGCCAACCCAATTTTGGGTCGCGACCCATAGATTGAGAACAGTTGTCCTTGATACAAACAAATATGTATCTTTAACCTTGTGGTTAAAGATAACAAACTAATAAATATACATGAACAGTGGAATCCAATACTTGAATTGTTTACTCTGTGTATTTAAGTTGTTTGCTTTAAATGGACCTTCCTTGAGTGTCAGTCAAACAAACATTTTCACCAATCAGAATATTATGTTATTCAGTAGGTGGGGGCCTGGGAATACACGCATGTCCCTCAAATCTATATTCACAAAATTGAGTAGTACAATGTTGTGTTGTGGGACCAAAAATTTACAAGGGATGAGGCTTGGCAGAAAGGTCCATTAAAAATTTAAGAATTTTTACGCAATTTGTCATTGAAAATACATGTTAATAACTGCTAATGAAGATAAAATTAAATGTGTAATGATATTTTTTTAATTGTTTTTAGTCAACAAAAGGAGTTCAGTCACGGTTATCGCAGCAAGCTGATGAGGAGAAGCTTATTCCAGTTTGTTCAGAACCTAGCCAAACAATAAAAGGTCTGTTATGATGTTGTTTACAGCTAGACTTTAAATGTCAAAAGCCAAGCAGCTTAATCTCTGTCTCTTATACACATCTTTTAAAGGAATAAATTATGTATTCAACTAATTAACTTTGAAGTATATATTATGTATTCAATTCCCTTGTATTAATTATTAATCTGTTGTTTTCCAAAAAAATATAATGTATTTCTCATCAATGATACAACTCATAAAGGAAAGCATTTTCAGTAAGTTCAGTTTGATCCGGCGATGAACCGGCTGTACACGGCTGGAAGAGACTCAATAATTCTTTCCTCAGTCCCATCGAAGGTGGGTGGACCCTCTATCTGTGAAAGTCCCTCTCTGGGCTATCTCTATTTCAAATTCCTAAAACCCCCGATGGCACTCTTTTTAATAAAGTGGGGGGGGGGGGAATTGTTGGAGGATGTAATTGTAATGTAAAATTCAATTTTTTTTTTTATCCTAGAGAGTCTCACAACCCTCTAATTATTTGCCAACCCAATTTTGGGTCGCGACCCATAGATTGAGAACAGTTGTCCTTGGTACAAACAAATATGTATCTTTAAAATATCCTTTTTGTTGTACCTTGTGGTTAAAGATAACAAACTAACAAATATACATGAACAGTGGAATCCAATACTTGAATTGTTTACTCTGTGTATTTAAGTTGTTTGCTTTTAATGGACCTTCCTTGAGTGTCAGTCAAACAAACATTCTCACCAATCAGAATATTATGTTATTCAGTAGGTGGGGGCCTGGGAATACACGCATGTCCCTCAAATCTATATTCACAAAATTGAGTAGTACAATGTTGTGTTGTGGGACCAAAAATTTACAAGGGATGAGGCTTGGCAGAAAGGTCCATTAAAAATTTAAGAATTTTTATGCAATTTGTCATTGACAATACATGTTAGTAACTGCTAATGAAGATAAAATTAAATGTGTAATGATATTTTTTTTTTATTGTTTTTAGTCAACAAAAGGAGTTCAGTCACGGTTATCACAACAAGCTGATGAGGAGAAGCTTATTCCAGTTTGTTCAGAACCTAGCCAAACAATAAAAGGTCTGTTATGATGTTGTTTACAGCTAGTCTTTAAATGTCAAAAGCCAAGCAGCTTAATCTTTAAGGAGGCAATCTTGCATGCTCAACAAAACTTGTTATTATTATATTTATTAAACTTTTTTGTTGTTGATATGGCTGATTTTTAAATAAAAATAAATTTAATAAATGTAGTTTTGTCCAGTTAACTCAACTGAACTGGCACACTATATTGTGTGACTATAATGCTGCATAATTTTGAAATGTAGGCATAAATATTACTGTAATTGACCTTCTTGTTTGTGTTCTTGTGATTTTAGCTTCATAGTTCTTATTCTTTTTATAATACAGACTACAATTGTATAGCACCACAATTTCGATTTTGTAATGTTGTGGTTTTATTCATTTTGAATGGTATATTTATTTATATATTTATTTTTATTTGCAGGAGGTACAAGTATACAGCAATATCACATTCTTAATGACAAACGGTATGTTATCACTAAGGACTCAACTGAAAATGTAGTATTATGGGATATTCTTAAGGTAAGTTATTGAAAGCATTGAACTGAGTGTTATCATTTTACCTTTATTTTAGATGAATGTAAAACCAAAAGTGGAAAAACTGCCGCTAACAGTTTGAATAATAATAATGCCCTTTGACTGCAAATATTATAAGCAGTCCTTAATTGAACATTAAGACCTTGTTGTTTGGATGAGAATAAATATATAATAACTGTTCGTTGGACTTTTATCATTGAATCATATACAGTTGAACTTCCCTAAGTCAAATCCAAAATTGCATTGAAAAATTGTTTGACTTAGTGGTAAAATCTCAAATCTTGGGTGAAAAAATAAAATTAAAAAAATAAATTACTAAAAATAAATAAATTTTAAAAAAGTGATATGTTAAATAAATTAGTTAAACTTTCCAAGAGACAGATAGACTAATAGAGTAAGTATTTATCACTAATGCACACTCATAACAAATTCATAGTTTGAAAATAACAATTTTAATATCCAGGGAGGACTGCTCCATAAACGTTACTACTTTCCCGTATTTAGAACATCATAGCTAGCAAAATTGCCGCAACCTAATATGGTATATTATTTTATTCCTCGTTTCCATAGGCTTGTAAAGTTGAAGACTTGGGTAATGTAGATTTTGAAGTTGAGATCAAGAATAAATTCAAGATGGTCTATGTTCCGCCTTGGTTTTCTGTTGATCTGAAAAATGGAGTAAGTGTGTTAATTATCATTATTATTATTATTATTACATCATCATCATTATCATCATCGTCTGTTCAATCACAGTCAGTTAACAATGGATCTTTCCGGAGTATCAATCAGACTTAACAACTGAGCAATCAGAACAGTGCCAGGAATATGCGCGTGTCCAACAAACACATGTGTTGCCGCGCATGTTTATACGCTGTTGTTTTGCGAGACCTTGGCAACGATGTACAACGGGCGGGGCTTAACAGAAAGGTGCGTATCACATAGTTCCTGTTCAACATCAACAGAAACAGTGGTGTTCATATTAATATATTACATTCTAAGATGTTGATATATACAAAAGTAAATAACAAAAGCTATTGAGGGCTCAAACAAATACTAAATACAGGGTAATTATTTTTATTATCATTAATATTTATTTATATACTTTTATTATAGTGCACTTTCCAATCGATTCCTCTAATTCTGAGACCCCTCTAAATCAAGACCATTTTTTTCAAAGAACCAAATAATCTGCAATCTGTTAACATAAGGCTCACCCTCTTAGTGAAGACTGAACCCCCGAGACCACCCCAAATTTTCAGGTCCTAAAGGTGGTCTCACATTGGAGGGCAAACTGTATTATTATTGCTATTTTATTTTGGGAAGATTTTTATACATTGTTGATATTGCTGCTGCTGCTACAGCTGCTATTGTCATTGTTGTTGTTTTTTTTTGTAGATTTTTATAATGTTGCTATAATGTTGTTAATGTTGTTGATGTTATAATTGTTGCCATTCTTTTTGTTGTGTATTTTATGTTGTTATTGTTGATGTGGTTACAGATGTTGAATATTCACCTTGAAGAGTCTGATGCATTTGCTGCGTGGGTGTCAGCTAAAGACGTTGGCCTAAATTCTATTGACGGTGGTGATACAAAAGGTTAGTTCTCTTAATGTAATTTAATAGCTACATACAGTATCTAATTCTGTGTATACTAAATATATAGCTCATATAGCAAATTACTGTAAAAACAACAATTATGTAGAAAATGGTGGCCGGTTGTCGGACGCATTTAGTTGTGGGAATGAATCCAGGTGTTTCATTGGATGTTAACCTATGACCCTTGTGATTGGAATGCAAGTGTCTTGACAACAAAGCTGTAGCTGGCCTACTTCCTTATACTTAATTACATTTTAAAAACTATTTAAATACAGTTTATTTTATGGTAAAAATTGGTTATGTAGAGTGCAGAATTGTATTACACTAAGTGATTTGTTTCATTTGTATTGTAGTGAATTTTGGTGGGTTATTACTCCAGGCATTACTAGAACACTGGCCAAAAACACATGCAATAGAACCAGAAGATATCAACGGACAAGGTATATCATCTAATTTCCTATTTATTTAACAATAATTATAAAAATGCACAAAAGCTAACTTCAGAGACTTACATATATATTCTTTCAAAAAAATGATTTGGATTCAACATAATACTAATGAAAATATTAATGATATGACGATGATAATGAATAATGAAAACAAAAATAATCAATGATATTAATAATTCATAGTAATACAGTAATATATAATAGGATTAGTAATAACAATGTTCTTGGTGTATAGTCCAGTCATGATCATATTCATATTTATTCACACAATGCATGCAAGTGGAAACAAGACAAAAAATGATATTTAGACAAAATGCAATTGTGTCTAGAGATGCCAAATAAGCCAAAGGCTTTAAGGCTGGCTCCACCAGAGAAAAAAACGAAAAGTAATTTGTTCCAGTATCAGCTAGTATAAACAACACTTGCATAATTATTAGGAATCGTCAAGGTTGCTTATTTCATATTACAGTAAATGGCTTTGATGGAAGCAGTGATGATATGAATGTAAGTGGGGAGAGGGCACCAATGGGCAACGGATATTTCAGCGTACCTGGACATACACCGGTCATTTTAAGCGAGGTGAACGGTAGAACAATGTTTAGATTATTATGTCGCGATGCAGGTGGAGATTCTGAACAAATTCTTCTTCAAGATACTGTCCCTCAGTGGGTTATTGATATTACAGTGGAGGTAAGAAACACAAATACACACCACGCAATTTTAATATTGCTTTTCAGTAATTTAATGTCAGTGTTGGCTTCCATCTTTACTTTCTGCTACCCTGCTTATTGTTTTGATAGAATCACATCACTTATCTCATTTTATAATTTAGATTATATATTATGATTATATATTATACAGTTGGGAAAATATACATCACAAGTACAGTTAAACTTGCCTAAGTCAACTTTCCCCTAACTCGCATAATTTCTAAGTCAATCTTATTTTACAAGGCAAATTGTTGTGCTTTCCATTCATTAATGATCTGTAAGTTGAATTTTATCTAAGTCGAACAATTTTTCAATGTCATTTTGGATTCGACTTAGGCAAGTTCAACTGTATAATTGTAGTTCTGTTTACCATTGGTGTGTTTCAGAAAACGCAACCCAAGTTTAACAAGATCTCATTTTTCCTGCAACCACATTCAACATCTGGTGCAAAGACTCTTAAAAAGTAAGTTGTCTTTTTATTTTTGATATAGACTGCTATTTGTTATCATCATCGTCGGTATCCAGAAGATTGACATCATCTTCATTATTCCCATCTACATTATCATATCACTGTCTTTATTATTAATTCCAATTTCAATTATCAAGAAAATCAATTTAAAATCTTTTTATGATTAATTGTCACCTTCATTGCCCAAATCAACATCATCATCATTATTTGTTATCAGCAAAAACTGTGACCAGATGTGATATTCTTATTACTCATCATTACTTAAAACTTGGAAAGGTATTCAGCCACCTTATTATTATTAATTATTATACCTTATATTAGAACACATACTATAGTTTCTATTCACTTGTATACTGAACATCGAACAATAAACATAATCCTATTAATACAGTAACTACGCCTCGTGTCTAATTTAATACAACTTGAATAAAAAGTTTATAAAATAATATCCTCATTAAAGTCATCGCTGTCATAATAATCATTATCATTGTCAAAAGTCAAGATCATTATTTCCATATTTAGCATTTTTTGTAAGGATTCATATGAATCATATTTTTTTGTTAGGATTTTTTATTCATTATATATATATTTTTTTAATATGTATACTTTAGGGATAGGCTGTCAGCTAGTGACATGCTTCAGATTCGTAAAGTTCTTGAGCACGTCTACGAGAAAGTGCTTGGCGTGGAGAACGGTGGTCATCCAGGCATGACGAATGGTAAAGACCATGATAGTCAAGACGCTGCTAGTGTTAGTGCTGCAGAAGAAAAGGTTGAACTACTATGTCAAGATCAGGTATGTGTTTTTAGTCAGTTAAATTGATTTGTTTTTTTGTTTCTGTCACATCCAACCACATATACAAACTAATTGTAATATTTAACGATGCTCTATGAAGTAAGCCTTTATGAGTGTTTTTTTTTTTTTTTTAAATGTAAGAAAAATACCTTGTGTTTTATTTTATTTTATATTTATTTTATTTAAAAACCTCAACCAACAGCGAATAAAATTTACCAATGACCATAATAATATGTGGTGTATATAATTTACAAATATATACACCAGTATTTAACCAAGTCCATGGTTCTATAATACATTATGAGAGGGTTACTTACTGGTAATAAATGTTTGGACAAATTTTATTCCCCCCCCCCACCTACTCCATAAACCCTCGTACCCCTCAACAACTCTAGTTGCCTACCTCAACCCATTTCTGTTTATGTACAGGCCTGGGTTTTTGATTACTCAACATACTTCTGTTAGGGCCTCAAGAAAAACTTGGCATAAATACACAGATTATATGTTACCTTTCTACAAATTCTTATTCCTTCTAGATAATTATTATGCTTGAAAACTTACCCTATGCTCCAGTTATTATACTGTATGTATTTATGGTTTTCAAAAGTGAATTTACTCAAATATTAATTTTCTCTTGTCATTAATGTTTCTCCTTTTTACAATATGTTTTTTTTTTTAATTTTAAAATCTTGTGGATTATTTTTTAATTTATTATTTCCAGGTTTTGGACCCAAATATGGATTTACGGACAGTACGGCATTTTATCTGGAAAACAGGCGGAGACTTGACGCTCAATTACAGATACAAAGCTGGACACTGAATTTTTTAAGATGTGATGAAAAATATTTTTGGATTCAAGTTTTTTAAAAAATGCAACAATAAGTACTGTGATCACTTGCCTGATGCAAGGCAATTCAGCTGACTATAGGTGGCGCTCTGAGCGAATCATCGTTGAGAACTCATGCAATCTTATTGGCTGACAACGCAAAACTACAAATACAGATAGTTACAATGTATGAAACTTTCATACGCAATTCACACAAAAAATTAAGAAACAAATTAATATCTTTACATTACAGTCGAATCTGTTATAAACTATGACCTACAATACTATATTTAAGACAGATTATAATAATGAAAGAGTTGTAAATAATTTTGTACATGTATACATATACACATGTATATGCTAGTTAATAAATTGAAAATATGTATTTATTGTCGATAAAATTGTTAAAATATTTAGTTAGTTGTAGATCTAAAACTTATTACTATATCTTTGTTTTTTATTTGTACTTTTTATATTGATTTTATTAAATGTACCAACATTATATTAACTATGAAGGTACACCTCCAAAAATGAACCAAAAGATAGTTTATACAATTTGAAATGCCATCGCATTATCGTAGCATCTAAGAGATTGTTTCTAATGTTGAGTGGTGAAGTTCAGAATAAGCATCTAGTGATTTTCATTTGTGTTTATAGATTTTGTTGTTCCAATTGGCGCTATTAGGGAGCTTGATTGCACGATGACAGAACGTAGAACGTAGTGACGTCACTAATAAGAAGTCATCTGCGCATGTGGGAATTTTGGGTTCTCATCGCGTGGATTGTAGGGCGCAATTTGACTGAACTACGTTGTGCACAGGGCGGTCACGCATCAGTGAATCCGTTCTAGCGTCATATCATCACACAAATCAAATGCTCTGTCTATTGTGCATTAACTCTGAAATATATTGATGGCCTATCCAAAGTATGAAGGGATGTTTGGTTACTCTTGAAGGATTCAGTAGAATCAAGCAAGGAGGATTTTTTGCAAGATATATCACAAAGGTGACTTCCTAAATTATGATTCTAAAGCCCTGTTTGACAATAACATGTGACATGCCTTAATATGGTCATGATAACATGAGTGACCAGTAGCAAGTTTACAATGTATTATTATTAGTCCATCTGCCTGATGCAGACTGTACATTAGTGTTGGAGCTCAAACTGTGTTCTTAATTTTATATCAGTTTTTGTAGATCCTCTGCCAAAATAACTTTTTCATGTGTCCATTCTTTGCATTTGTAACAAACAAAATACACTGTACACTATATTTTTAGTACAGTGGGGGGAGAGAGGGGGCTTGACAACTGATATGGAGCAGGTTTTTGTACGATAAAAAAATACTTCTTTTTATGATGTATAAATTTAACGGCAATTGAACAAAAGTACATATGGATTCTTTACGTAGGTGAAGGGTTATTCTTAGTAGTTCAATATTTAAGTAGAATTTAATAATCATTTAATAGCTATGTGAAAGTAGTTTATATTTATTCCCATTCAGCTCCAACATCAACAAATATAGTCATCAGCTCTTGCATACCATGTCAATATAAGATAATGAAATCATGCAGACCTCTAAAAGCTAACCAAACACTGTCTAAATTTTGGTATGCCAGATTTTAGGCTCTGTCCAGACTATCAAATTTTATTTGACAAACACATTTGATATGCCTAAATATGGTCATGATGACATCACATCATGACCATTTATAGGCACATCATGACTATATATGGGCATAAAACAGTTTTTCCTCAAATAATATTTGATAGGTCTGGACAGAGCTTTGCAATGTGTAATCAAACTTGAAAAGTGTATGCCTGTTACAGACAAATATCTAACAAACAAATGTGTCTTTCTATGTCTGTTCAAAGTTGGACAATGCGCTACTTATCAGTCTAGCTAGCATGTTGATGTGGAAATTTTAATTTACTTTTTACTTGGTTCATTTTACTTTCAGAAATGTTAACTGAGGCTACATACCTCATTCAGAACTCATAAAATTTATACAAACTTAATATAGGGGGTTAATTTTTATCCACAGAACTACAGTACTCTTTTAGACCATTACAGTATATTGGTAAAATTAGCTACGTACAAAGAGCTATCTAGTAGAAAGAAGCTTGACTGGTAATGACCTGTGTACCTTGAAATTATTTTCCCCCAATGTAAACAAAAACTAAATCAAAAACCTGCTTAATATTTATCTACATTTTATACTAATTTGGACTTCTAAGATACATAAGTTTCATAAATATATGTTTATTTTATCATAGCATTTATGTTGCTATAAGACAGACTTAAATTATTAAATTTAACCAAAACATATTCTAAATCTTTTCACTTAGAATACAAATTGTATTATGAGAAATGCACGATACTGCCAATTCATTATAAACAACAATTGCAAATGAAAGCAAAACACTTATAGATTTAGAATTCTATGGCCGGTTTCCTTATTAATTTATTCACTTACATAAACATACAGTAATGATTAAATCATCTATAAATACTTCAAAAATTAGGCGTATTAGCAGAGTAACGGAAAAAACATTAATAAGGTGGAACAAGTGAATATGCTGTTATTTTCATCATATTGAAAATAAAATTATAATTTACCAAGTGTCCCTTGATTGGCTGTGTAGCAGACTTCCATATATGGACATTTGACAGTAGAACAAACTTTGGTAATGCTAAATCAGTCCTTTTAAAAATTATCTGAGATTTTTGTTGTTAATGCCAAGCATTGTGGATATAAAGATTATATGTTTTTTAATAATATTTTGATGGAAAACAGGATGGTCTGTTGTTTAAGTAGTCTTCATTTATATTGTATATTCATAAAAAAAAAATACACCAGATGCATTTTTGCTCATATAAATTTACACATTGAGCTACGACTTTTATTACTGTAGTAAAGAAATACTGCCACCAAAACATTAAAATGAAACATTGAAATGCTCCTAAAGTCGGGCACTTGCTGCGCCCGATGCGATTCTATGAAGGACGCAATGCCGCAATACGCGCAACGGATCATTTTCAATAACAATCTGGCCAAACTGCCACTGACATTCAGCAGACAACACTGTGTCATTTAATGTTCACAGGAGCAGAGTTGGATCAGGCAGCCGACGTTTATTCATGGCGCAAGTGATAATCCCATCTTGATGATAATAATGCCAAATATTTATATAGTAATTCCAAATTGAATGATCAAAGTTGCTTAGCATTATTAACCCCAGTCACTGGATAACATACAATGGCAAACCAGCACAAAGTGCAACCTTTCTTGCTCCTTGGGGAGTATATCTCGTCATGTGCTTGCACTCAGCACACAAAACTAGTACATTCAATGCCACAACATCTACCAGGTTCCCATTTATACTCCTTGGTAGAGACAGACAAACGTAGATAAAGTGCCTTGCCCAAGAACATAAGCGACTTGCACAGTGAAAGTTTTGAACCACTGACCTTAAGGTTGGGAGTCCAAAGCACAACACCGATGCACAAACTACTGTATTATGAATTCCCTCCTTGAAGTGGCATCCCCCAACTTGGGACCCCCATGTAGTTGTTTAGTTTAAACATGTCGTAGATCAAAAATTTGTTTTACTAAAAAAAACTTAAATTTGCTGCCAGAATTCTAAGGATAAATGCCAAGGCATTCATTGGATTGGTATTTTTTTAAACATTTAAACAATTTCTTTTTCATTCCAACGTGTTAAATGTATAACTAATAACTTTTATAAGGTAATAACAATTCAGTATTTGTCAAGTTTATAATAAGTGGCACTATGTTTTTAATATTCATAAAAATTATAATTCCAAGTAACTGAAGATCATCTACCATGAAAGATTTATTTTATCATTTATTTGATATAAAATGTTAGCACTTAGCACAGAATCAAATTATATCTTACAATACAATTTCATTTAAAATATTACATTTTAACATAAGATTACCATCTGAATAAACATAAAATTGTATGATTTAAAATAAAATGTTATAATATAATACTTTAACATATGAAGACATAACACATACAGTATACGAGAGCCTAGCACAATATGTGTCACCTGATAGTTTGCCGAAGAATTTGTCCATGCTCTGGGTGAGCACTTGTTCAAGGGAACATCAGTTTAGTGATCATTGTTGGCACTCGGAGTGGATTGTTGTTAAAAAAACAATCCATCAGTCACAGTTGTATTCAGGGCGCATGAACTCATGGCGGTTACCGTCGCCAACACAGTGTGCGCCTGCTCTCGAGATATAACCAAATGACAGCAATGATAGACTTTAACCAGACACCAAAGAATCTCCAATAGTTAACTATTCTAAAAATGTTCTAAGCACTACATCATCCTATTTTGTAAACATAAGCATTTTGAAGTAGAGGCCTTAGTAAGTAGTCACTAAGTTTTATCGGAGAGAAAAGTTTGCACCTTTGATAAAATACATTAAAATCAACTATACACTTTGTATATATACATAAATACTCATAACATAAGCAATATTTTTCATCCAAGGATGATTTTTTAAATGCTTTAATTATATATATTTGAAGGGAAAAAAATGGCTTTAGTGGTTGAATTTACTCGTGAAATTTGCTTACGACTCCACTTACTACTTGCTACACTTTGTATAAATACTCAAATTACATAAACAATAATTTTTATAAAACAATGATTTTGAATGCTTAATTACATATTTGACAAAAAAAATTAACTTCATTGGTTTATTTTACTTGCAAAATTCCTTCTGGTTTTTGCTACCAAAATCTGGTAGATATCACTGAATGATTTGATGTTATAGTGAATAAAGGTTAAGTTTATTTAAAACTTTATTAGTCTAAAATATGGTTTTAATCTCTGTGTACACTAATAAAAGTAAGATGTAATTTAATTACAAGTTATTCACTATCAAACTCAGTTGAATGTACCTTTTTATTCTGACTATTATAGTGTAAACAAGGTCTTATTTATGACTTATTGACTAAAAAAATCAGTTAAATGTACAATTTTATACTGAATTTGTTCAATTTTGCTATATCTAGCAACATAAGTTAATTAAAAATATATAATTCCATAGGTTATTTTATAATCTAATCTACGTATCGTCCATGAGTGATGATATTTTTGTCTGTCTAGACTACTGTAAACTGTTCTCTTCTGTATTTCATACAAAACTATAATTTAACTTCTCTCAACTTCCTGCCACATCTAGAAATAGAAACATAATATTGTTTCCTGTTTTCTTACAAAAAGCTACAAAATGATTTCTTCATTTTCTTCAGCTTCTAGTCATTTTAATTCGGGCCTTTTAATCATCGAACGAGCAAGACTTTCCTTTGTGAGTTGTTTATAGTAATTCACTTTATAAACCATGCACAAACTGTCCTATCCAGCTTTGTTGAACAATAAAAAACCTTGTGCTACAAATATAGAATGCATGAAAACAAAAAAATATTGTAAACTAACATACACTTGATTCATGACTAAATAAATGCCTTTTAAATGATATTAAGAAAGTATACTTCTTCTCATCCATACCTTAGTAGTAATTATTATGCACTTCTAAAATGCACTGGTAATGAAGTAGGGCAGATAAAAATATAATAGCCAGTTAAACTTTATTGCTTTACATCTAGTCAAGCTGTCATTCTATGATCTTATGTTGAGTTACTATCTTATTATACTAGAACAGATCTATGATGCTGAGGATTTTGACCAACAGAGGACTGAAAATGGCATACTGTAAGATGATGATGATACAATGTATGTAAATTACTGTAAATTATGTGGTGAAAGTTATAAATATCATTGCAATATTATAGGTCTAAAGGGTATACAAGGTAAACGAATCTAATTTCATGAATAATCGACAACTTCAGACTATATACTTCATTTATTTACTAACTTCTTGTCTTCAATGCAAATCCTTCTATTATTACCGGTGTATAATTTATATATTAAAAATTTTTATTCACGTTGGTATTTTAATCAAATCTAAACAGAAAATACTTTTAAAATCACAAACTTAACAAATATATAATAATACGATACATAACATATTCATATGCTCTGACTGTAGGTGATGCCAATATATATAATATACAAATAAGAGCAGGTGTAAAAATTGTCCAAGACAAACACTGGATATATAACGACATAATGATCTTATTCATGAATTAGACCAAGCTACTGTAAACACACAGCTGAGAGAGTAACATTTAACAACACAAAGATTGTATGGAACTTGGAGCTGTATGATCATCATAAACATGTCTAAATATGGTCATGATGACATCATATCATGAGTATATGGGCATAAGGACCCCAATGGAAAATGAGTTTTACTTTTTTTGGCTTTTCCTTCATGTAATTACAGTCATGTTTTTGTGCAATTTTTTATCTTGTCCATTTTTCGTATATCATGTTTATGTATGTATTTTACTACTCTGATTACTAATAAATTCAATTCAATTCATACAAATACGCTGTAGCCTAAATATGCTATATTACCATATAATAGTATAATGTAAAAAACACTGTCTATTTGATTTTGATTATAGATTTGTAGGATATTTTAAGATTATATACTGCCATCCAAAAATAATTTACATAAATAGGCATTTTACTATACTTATCCTTAAATTTGCTGCCGGAAATTTAAAGGGTATGCAAAACTACAGGAATATGTATTGTTTACAGTTACTGAAAATGTGTATATGCGAGGACAATTTTCTCTAGTTCAAAATTGTTCAGCTATTAACTTAAAATTAAAATTACCCCATTTTTCAGTGGCAGTACTGTGTATTTTTAATGTTTGTATTGATGTTTGCATTGCACTGGTGCATTGGTAAGAATACTCCTCAGGGGATGGACGACACATTATATTTCCTAAAAAACCGCTCCAAAAATTTGTAAAAATGCTGTATAATATAAAAACATTATAATTTTCAATATTATTTGCTGAAAGACTGTGTGAAATCATCTATATAGCATTTTCCAGCACTGATCTTTGGTCTAACTCCAGCAACAAAGTTAATTAGGTGTTGACGGTACCAACAACCAGCATATCCTACAGATCATCAAATATTTATTGGCTCAGTTTTAGTCATGTAGATTGAATTGGCTCTGTTTGCACTTGTCAAAGAATTTCAACAACAGGGTTTTTTTCGTTCAGTTGTAGGCTCATTATCCACCGAAATAACGTTCTTGTCCTTAACTTGTTTGCTTCCTCTCGTTGTCATCCTATCCTCTCCTATTGGCAATAACTCTTGAAAAATGTACTCAAAAACATCGCACACATTTTCGCCTGTTAGCGAACTGGTCTCGAAAAATGGTCGTGTTTCAGGTTTTTTGTTTTTAAATCGCGGTTCATTGATTTGCATTGCAAATTCTACCGCCTCCTGTTGAGTGACTTGGCGGGCATTCTTTTTATTCTCTATCGTTTTTGATCCGGCATCGTGTCCGTTTGTGGCACTGTCGCTTAGGTTTTTTACAAGGTCGAGTTTTGTACCGGTCACACAAAATAGACAGTCCTCTTTGGCTGCATCAAGAAGAGGAAGGAATCTTTTCTCTAACATTTCAAAAGTCTTCTTGTTTCCAATGTCATAGGCTAGGATTGCAGCAGAGGCATCTCTGCAATAGAAGGAGCTCAACCCAGAAAACCTCTCTTCTCCAGCAGTGTCCTGTAGTGTAAAGAATATTATGCCACATTCAGAAAAATAAAATAAATTACTACTGTTAGGTTTTAGCTAGGCTTATAACTTACAATGTAAGGACTAGCAGAATAACAATAATAACTTACTATGTCTGGTTAGTAAAACAGAACATAGGGCTTTTCCTCATTACCCGTTATTAATATTCACAATAGGTAGAATGATGTCATATTTTAATATGCACATCTTTGGAACATGGTCTTTGCTTGGGCAAAGTTTGAAGAAGATCCAAGTACAGCAAAGTGCCAGACCGAAAAACAATTGCAAAAACATAGAAAAATGGGATAGAAGAACAAAATCAAAACGAAACAATGGTTTTTTTTCTGCTAACGCAACTACAACACTTACCCATATTGCTATGTTATACTGCCCCCACTGTTTCAATGAAAAACATGCTCCAATAGTCTATGTTAAGAACAGAAGAAATATTAGCATTGGTTTAAGATGTAGCAAGAACAACAAACTAACAATTAACTTCAAGATGTTCTGAAAGAAGAATGAGGAATACATACTCCAACATTGTGTGTAAACTGGCCGTCCATATAGCGTTTCACCAACGTTGTCTTGCCAACAAATGCTTCTCCTACTATTACTACTTTCACATCTCTAAGAAAAACAAAATTATGCATTATATAATAGACAATACAGAAATGAGTCATGTGAAAACAGACACAGTGAGCAATACCATCTGTACAGTATTATACGAAACTGCATGAATTCTTCTCACCTTTTTCCATAGTTCATACTTTTTAAGTACTGTGCAACTCTGGTAAAAAGCGCATACAGTATTAAAATGCTCAAGTATTATTATTATTATTATTATTATTATTATTATTATCATTATTATTATTCAGATTATTTCAAATGTTAAAAGGTTCATCCTTGTTGAATAGAGAATGCCAGTAAACTACTCTAAATACTTGGAAATGAACATTTTCAGAATCAATTGCTAGTGCTCCAAAGGTACTTCCTCCCACCACCACCACACCCTCCCTCCTCCCTTAAAGTGGTAAACCATATCACAGGTAAACGTGAAGGTGCTGAAAACTACCTTCTCATCCAAAGAGTGGTACACCCAGAAATCATGGAGGGATACTAACATTTTCAGAAGTGTTAAAATGATGTATCAGTCTTACACTTTTTTTTTTATTATAAGAACAAGTAAAATTTTGCCCATGCTCGGTGTTACTATTTGCACCTTTCAGACAAGGCTTGTTTGTTGTTGACACTATTAAACATGCTTAATTCATGGAGGAAATATCCTCCATGCTTAAATACAGTACACAGTGGTATAAATTACATTGCGTTTTCGGCAAGGGTTCATAATAAAAATAAATAAAATAAATTAATTACTTAATTAAAAATTGTATATCAAGCCGCAATTCGAACTCACTGTCTTTGGTTTCCTTATTCCCTTACAACACATTACTAACGGACTACGCCATCTATGCGATGTGTCCTATAAGTGGAAATAGCAGTAAAGTACAGTCCTTGCTGAAACCCCTATTTTGTTTTGTAGGTAGGGGAAACCCAGGGATCAAACTTAAAAAAAGGGCCATGAACGTTTGTTGGAAATAACTTCTAGTTTAGACTTTTTTTATTCCTTATTTCGCGTACTTACAAATAAAAATAAAATTTTATCGGTAAATGTAAAATAGGATGGTTAAATGCTTCAAATTTATATAATGAGGAAGAAATATACATATCTTATCTTTGGAGATTTCAAGGCAGCAGAGGGCGTAATAATATTAAAAATAAACTTTTATTTTTTTTCTTAAATTTCAAATTTTTCGTGGCGGCAGGTGCACTAATTGATAAAAAATAAAATTTTATTTTTATTTGAAATCATCAATATTTGCAATTGGCAAGTTCGCTAAACAAGTTTTAAAAAACAACAACAACAACAGCAGTAACGTTCTGGGGTTTGCCTTGCGCAGACTCAAAAACTTATTGAAGTTTACAACACAACGCAGACCCTTTCAGGATAGATAGAAAACATGAGTGATAAGCTAACAATGTTTTATAATGCCCTTAACAAAATACCACTTGTCATATATCGTTTTTGGTCTATGCTGGTATATGTCACCCCTATGTATATCTTATAAAAAATATAATTAAAGTACAATATAACTCTCCATACATTGTCCGAAAGTGTCCACATGCAGTTGGATTAAAGAATATCTTTCGAGACAAGTAGGCGGTTACACTGATGTACTGGTCTATACAATCCCTGTTGTGGACAGACGAGTTTAGCTGGCTGTGGGTTACAAGTTATTGTACTAACTAGTCCACATTTTTGAGACTCCAGTCTAAAACGCTATATAAATGTTAACTATACAAAAGCATGGTTACAATATTTGCAATCCCACTGTAACCATAGGCAAGCGTGCCACTTGAAGCAGCGCCAATATTATGGCTGTAGGTTGCAGCGTCCCTGCCTTCACAGCTCGGGCCATTCGACTTTCCTATTTCCCAAGGAATAGCCATCTTGGAATTTCTAACAATTTACTCATTCGTTTACTGTTGTTTTACTGTGTTAATATTATACAAAAATGCAATTTCAAATGGACATGCCATATAATAAATACAGTAATTGCTCATTGGTTAGGAACTGTTAGTGCCCATCACCAACTTATAGGAGGCTTTTCATTGAATTATATAATCTATTACAACTTCTTTTTGCTTGATTTGAGAAGTTACCATTTATCAATAAAATTATAGAGCTACTGAATAGCTTTAAAATGACACCAAAACCAACTCAATAGGTGCTACACTTACTGAGATACAGTCAGTTAAACGAACAAGGTATTGCTAATTAGCTCAAACTTTGTTAGCGCGTATCTCACTAATTAAGAGGCCTAGAGGGTCAGGCTCACTATAAATGTGCAATTGGACTTTAAAAATCAAGAAAAATAAAGTTCAGTTAACAAACTAGGGTTTTCTTTAGAACGAAACTTTAATATGTCAAGAGCAATTCCCCAAAATCTTAACATTTAACTTCAAATAGTTTTTTCACAGCATACCCTTAATAACATTATCAATACATTTGATATGCGATAACGTAAGTTACTGAACCAATGTTGAATAATAGATGGTTGTAAGACGATTATCTATAACCGAGTGTAAAATGTACCTATAAATATCATTATACATACAATAAATAAAAAACCAAGCGGGGAGAAAAGTGCCACACCCAAGTAATTACACATTTACCAGTATATTGATTTGAAAAATTGATGCTGCAATAATATAACAATATATTTTAATCCAGTTGATACTTTTCATTTTCGCTCACTAAAAGTAAACAAACAACATACATCTTCCATTCTTTTCCATTAAAAATCTACGGAGATGCTCTGGTAACAAATGACATAAATTTGCTAAACATACACTTCCAATGATAATCGCATTATTTATGTAAATGTTAGTAACATCAGTTTCATATAATTATGTAACACCGATCATGAGTCTATCGTTGTAAAAACAAGTAAAATTATAATTTCTCTTCAATTGTGAGTATATACAGTGAATGTTATTAAAAATAAATGAGCACATTTTTTCAAAACTATCATAAACGACTATAAAAGAGTATTTTTGTCTATAATCAACAACAAGAACATTTGATTTGTTTTTATATTTATTTTAGTTATGGTTTTTGAGAAAAAAATCATTGACGTAGTTAATAATATGTTCATTTTTAATGATATGTGGTTAAGCCCCTAGGTTTGCTTGTTCTTTCAATTTGATAAAGTTTTGTAACCTACGTTACCAGGATTACTCATCTAATAGAACATTATAAAGATGATTTGCAAACATATTTATTTGAGAAAAAAATCATTGAAGTAGTTAATAATATGTTCATTTTTAATGATATGTGGTTAAGCCCCTAGGTTTGCTCGTTCTTTCAATTTGATAAAGTTTTGTAACCTACGTTACAAGGATTACTCATCTAATAGAACATTATAAAGATGATTTGCAAACATATTCATTTGATGTTAAAGAATGTTGATTAGGTAAATGTATTTAATGTGTAACGTTCGCTTTCATGAATTTACTCGCGATTATAATGTACACATAATATATTTTACTGTAATATATGTTACCATCAAAATAAATCAGAAACGTATGAAAATAGTATTAGTATACTTGGTACTGACAAAATGTATGGAATGCCAATTTTTCAGTTTTATTGAGAACAGAATGATCTGAGGACATAACTTCAAATTGTTTAATTAAAAAGTATTTAGGCCCCCTAGGCCAGGGGTGGCGCCAGGATTTGCCCGACAGGGCGACCGAGGTCGCCAACAGGGGGGGGGGGCCGATGCCCCGACGAGGGATCAGATTTCCCCAACGAAAGCAAAGTGGGCGTGGTCGAGCTTGGATTAAAAGGTTTCGAAAATGGTCCTTGGGGCGAAGCCAACAAAAATTTTCACAATTTAGGGGTTTCAAAGGCTTATTTAGTCGATTTTAGAGTCTATTAATATGTAGAAAATACATATTAATTTCTCCCGGACGAATTGTGCTTTTCCTCTCCGACGGGGGGGGGGGGCCAGCTCTCCCCGACCGGGGGCCCTAGGCCTACCTGTACTTTGTTGGAAAACTGGAGATGTGGACTGAAAAATGAGATTAAAAATCTATGATTTAAAAAGTGGAATATGCACTCAAAATTCAATGTTATCTACTAGGTCTAGGCTTTAGGCCTAGTACTCTTATTTATAATATTTAAAGCTTTGCTTTGCCTTTTAAAATCTGTCTGCCCCTGACCCCAGTGCCAGCAGTGAATCTTTACTTAATAATACAAATAAGAAGGGTTGAATATGCAAATGCCAACAAAATGGTAAGATTAAGAATGTTGTTAGTAGGTTACGTACAGTAATAGCAAATAATAGTCATTACAACATGACGCAACAAGCTTAGATTTCCACATACATGCTAAAAGAGCGGGACACTATTAAGCTCACAACTTCCCCACATCTATCAATAGTATAATTATCATCACGCCACGACGATAAGTCATCATCGACATCAAACCAATCTACGAGCACGACTGTCGGCAACCAACCATGCCCTAGCCTAGCTAGGAATCTAAGGATGGCCCTTCTCTCTAGGATACTTACGCCTTCTTTTTGCCTGATCCACTTTGTGGCGCTGCCATTATTTACGAAAAATATCACTTTTTAACGTGGATTCAGTAAAATGCATTGCCTATCAGTTTAGAAAGCAGATCTTTATGTAAACCCTCTGTCATTGCCTGTTCGTGTATAAATTTGCATCCGTGAATCGAGTCGATCGACAGAAAGAGGCGCTATACAATCTTTGGAAAGACGGGGTAGTGGCTATCGGCACTGCCGCAGTGCCGATTTGGCACAGCCGCAGTGCGAAAAAAACTGCTGTTTTCTATCGACACTGCCGCAGTGCCAAAAAGCTGCTGTTTTCTATCAGCACCGCCGCAGTGCCAAAAAGTTGCTAAAAGCTGCTGTTATTAATAACAATCGAATCGATGTTTTTATCTATAGATGACAGTAAGGTATCAATAATTGATTAGGTCTAGCCTATATTATTGTTAACATTATATTATATATGTTTTACAATTAATAATTATAATTATTTCTAATTAAATTATTAAATACTGTATACCGTACATAATATATAGTCCTAGGCATATATTCATGTATAGGCCTACATATAATAATAATAATAATAATAATAATAATAATAACAATAACAATAACAATAACAATAACAATAATAATAATAATAATAATAATAATAATAATAATAATAATAATAATAATTTTACGATAGTTTGATTGATGAGATAATAATAATCAGCATAGGCTTATTAAATAAAATTACGTCCATGCAAAGCCTGCTTTTAAATAAAAAAAAATTATCTACCGTACTGTATTTGATTCTGTTTAAAAAAATAATCTTATAAATTAGAAGTTTATTTTCTGTGATAATTTTATCCACATAGGCTAATTCATGTTTTCAATGTTAAATATGGATGATAAATAATATATATATAAAATAATAATAATATTAATAATAATAATAATACAGTAATAATAATAATAATAATAATAATAATAATAATAATAATAATAATGAAGGTGCTCGAATAATGCTTTTATAAAGAATTAATAATACTTCATACTTCAATAGGCCTTTTTACGATAGTGAGCGGAGACTATTTGTTGATTAATTTATAGAAATATATAATAGGCAGGCCTATATACCATTAATAATGATTCAGCATATTAAATCAATTAACAAATTAGTGACGCCGGGGCAATAGTTGATAGTAATAACAGTATAATGAATATCCACATAATTGTTGAATGCAGGGACCTATCTCTAGAATACATTAAAAATACAAATTATAATTCGGGACAAATAATTATCTTTACATGATATGACCCATGTCATATGTGTACATCGTGAACTCAAGCGGTAAAGTACCGGTAGTACGTACCGTCCCGATTTGTGAGTGTTTGTTGATTGTGACTATACCACACGAGGCAATTTTTTTTCTTTTTTAAAGGCAGTTAGTTGATGGTGGATTATGGATAGCAAACATGGAGGTCGTGGGTTCGATTCCCACGCAAACCAATAATTTTTTTTTTTTAAGGCAGGCCTAAAAAATTAAGGGCCAGGGCCTCGAGACCTCTGACAATGGCGGAAGGCTCATTCATACTGAAATTCGTGTTTTGCTGGTGATTTTTTTTCATCCAATGGGAATTCATATATATTTTATATGAGAAGAATCTATGAATATTCAGCTTTCTGTTTACCGGGAAGGGGGGGGGGCGGTAACAACAAGATATTTGATTGGTAAACAGCCGAATCCAACGAAGTCACTAAAAAAAAGTAAAAATGCAGCCTCTACGTGGTGGGCGGTTAGCATAGCACCAATAGAAAAGTGAAAAATGACGGTGACTTTTTTCAAGCAATACAATTGAAACAAATACTAAAGCAATCAGTGGGGGTGTAATCTGTGAGCGAGTAATCTGTGAACGAAGCGTGCAGCCATAGGCTAGGGGCCAGGGGGGCCGCCTAGGGCCCCCCGGCGGGGTCCAGGGGCAGGGCCCCTGGTGGGGGTCCAAGGGGGCGAAGATCCCTTGAAGCCCAGCACATTTGAGGAATATGAGGTTGTATTGAGTCGATTTTGACTATCTAGCATGGTAGTTTTCACTTCTAGAAAACATGATGAAGTTTCTCAGCAACATTGAACATAAAAATGACAAAATCAGCAAAAAGGAAAACTAATATCCAAAATCGGTTAAAAAAAAGTCGTCAAACAACAAAATCCGCTACTGTATATTAACATTGAGTAAATTATACAATTGTTCTATTTCTCACCAAGTGGATTTATGCGTATCCATTCAATTATCTCAAAAAAAAAAAAAAAAATTTTTTTTTTTTGTGTGAAATGCCACGCGCGCCACCCCCCTTTTTTTTGTGAAATGCGACGCGCGCCAATCTCCCCCCTAAATCCCCCTTTTTTTGTGAAATGCGATGCGCGCCACTCCCCTCTAAGCCCGCCCCTTTTTTTTGTGAAATGCGACGCGCGCCACTCCCCTTTTTTTTTGTGAAATGCGACGCGAAATTTGAAGATATAGGCTAGTGTGGATTTAAAGTCCTAATGATAATGTTCAAAATAAAAGTCAATGAATGTAAGTATGATTGTTGAAAAAGTGGTCAAAATTTTATTTTTATTTCTCACCCTGACCTTCGCCTGGGCGAACCGTGTGGGCGAAGGTCTGGATCCGCGCCTGGGCCTTCGACACAATTGATCACAATATCATATTATTTAAATCATTTTGATACTGTCAACTTCAAACTGATCCCTTGTCTCAATACTTGCTGCTAATAAACTTTCAATCAACCATAATAAATGTAACTTCATCCTCTTTGGGACCCCACAGCAGTTAGAATGTAGGCCTATTGATACCACCCCTTTTAAAATGTTTATCGACAGTTAAGCCTATGACATACCCTCTGTTTCAGTCAGCTAAGTTCTTTTTAGGGGTACATTTTGACAGTGGGCTAACATGGAAAAAAACATATCAACAAAATAGAGAATATAATTTTTAAAAGTTGGTATTATTTTTAGATTATCCCCATTATTTGTATTTTTTATTCCCTAATCTTTCCTTATTTGAGATACTGCAACATTGTTTGGGGCAATACATTTATCCAACATTAACAAACTGCACATTCTCTAAAAAAAGCTATTAGAATTATATCTGGCACTCCACCATGGTCTCATTCCTCTCCCTTATTTTCCAATTTAAACCTTCTCAAACTCTCTGATATCAACAATATTCAACAAGGTACTTTCTTGTACTGTGCCGCGGGTGCAGAGCGCCAGGAATTCCCCGACGAGAGGTCCAAATCCAAGCTTCCTACAAGGACTCCACCCAGTCGGGAAAAATTAAATTTTGTTAATAAAAAATTAAAAAAAATTGGTTAATTATGGGATTCTTTATTTAAAGGGATAATTTTATACCATGCAAGTTAAGAGTTATAATAATATATAGTATATAAATAACTGAACAATTACTGTAGTTCAGGCCTACGAAATTTGTGATTTGATTCAGTCTTCTGTATTATAATCTACCGGCACCGTATGTTTTAATAATTTTAATTAAACGTGGTTTGATACCCAGGGGTGGTGCCAGGATTTGCACGACGGGAGGTGGGGTTCCGAGGTCCCTGACCGGGGAATGAACTCGACGGCGAGAACAAGTGGGCGTGGTCAAGGGGGTGGTCGAATGTCGCGCTCTCTCAAAATCTTTCGAAGGTGGTTCATCCCCGGGTCCACCGCAGCCGCACCAGGGAGGGGCGAAGCTCCCTGAAAGTATGTCCATTTAGGGGTTTCAAAGGCTTATTAAATCGATTTTAGAGTTTATTAATATGTAGAAAATACATAAATTTTGTTTGTCCCTGACGAATTGGGGGTTTTCTCCTCGACGCAGAGAAAAACCTTTTTGTGCCTAAAAAAATAAATTGTACAAATTTGTTTTCCTCGGGCGGAGCCAGCCCTGGCGCCTGCAGAGCCATATATATATAGTTGCGACATTCCGCTCCTTGGTTTGCGAAAGTCACGTGGTACTCACCATCCACTTTATGTCATAATCTTCTCGATGAACACATGCAAAGTATATGAGTTACGTACATTGCATATAATTTACACACACTTAATTGGGTTTACAATTATATTTTATGATTAACATCACTTAGTATGGACAGCGTATTAGAATTCATGTATATAATCGAATATTTGCGCGCGTGCGTGCTCGCGTAAATTATTGAAATGAATTAGAATTTCTTTCAATTATCGTTAATTCGTCGCATTTTAATTAATGAAGACTGAAGACCCGACGTATTTTAATTAAAAATGTAAATTAACTAATAAGTATGTATTTTATTACGCTCTTCGTTCCCCTGAGATCATCATTAAAATTTTATTTTATTATCTCATTCGCCTACATGCGTTCGGAAATATATTTAAGCTAAATAATAATTTTAAAAAAAATTGCCGCCCTTTTCTGACGACCATTAAAAGTTGTTCGCTCAACAATATTAAAAAATGATTCTTCTTAATTTCAATTGTTTGTACAGCCTGTATAAATACGAATGACAATGAAAATAAAGGTGATGTTTTATAATCTTAAAAATGATTTGCTGTTTCTATTGCA